GCGTTCTGGGAGGACGTCATATGACGTCCACTCAGAACTGGCCGGCCGCAGTTTAGCCGTCATTCGGCTATCTGCGGTCGGCAACTAGTTAAAATAGAAATGAAAGACAGCAGACAAAGAAAACATTAATACCTCTTCCCCTTTTATTTGTATACATGATCACATACCCTCTGTTCTCAGCTGCATAATGCACTCAGGAATGAGAAACAGTGAATGGATGGGTGGGGGGAGTCAGCACAAGGTCAATCATTAGATTAGGTCCCAACACAGCTAGAAAACTGACCATGCTGTGTTCTCCTGTCTAGTATGGTTAGTTTGTAATAGGAAAGCAGAGGGACTTAACAGGAACACCAGGGATTTCACACAAAGGAAGTAATACAAAGAGAACAGGATACTTTTTCTTACAAGTACATGGAACAGTAGGCACATAACAGGAATATGAAATACTCTTTATTAGCTCAGATACTGCTCAGTCAAGATCACATTTAGGCACAAAACTGTAATAATGCATCTTCTTTGTTGTGTGTTTGTGGTTTATCTAGCAAGAGGGAATTGTTACATCATACATTTCCTTTATATTATTTAATTAAAAAACAGAGAAGTCTCCTGTGTGAAATACATTGCCCACACATTTAACTAGCCTACTGTAGCTATCGAATCTGTGTGAAGACTGGATTTAGAGCCTATGAGGTGTCTGCAGTGCATTCTGGGAAATTGCAACAGCAGAAATGTTCTGAAAAAACCCCACTGAGCTTGAGTTTGCCAGCAAATAGTGTCTTGCGGACGTTTTCAGACCTTTGACCAGTTCTGTCATGTTAAGAAATCTTGTTTGTATCATCCAACTAATCTGAAAAAACTGAAACAAGTCTACCTGGAGAAACGAGCTGCATTTACTCCACAACTATGTACAAGACTACTATATCCGGGCCCCAGAATACTGGTTAGCATGCTGCATTGTGAACACAGGAGGTCAGCTGCTCAGCACACGCGCCATTGCACCATTCACAGATTGTTTTGAATAAATACAAAGCGTTCTCTGATTGGACGAGATTGAGGGGCAGGGAGGTGCTGTCACAACATTGCATGCATACAGAGAAGATTCTACATATGTGAAATGGTATGGATGTGTGCATGAGCACTTAAAAATCAAGGTTAAGTAAAGAAAGAATTGGTGAAGGGTCTGAATACTTTTGCATGGCAGCTTGTGAATAAAGTTGAATCAGGGGCGGACTGACCATTTGGAAACTTGGGCACTGCCCGAGGGCACGGGGTCAGTAGGGGCCCCATGAGATGCCCCTGGTATCTTTTTCATAGGCTTTTTTGAGTTTGATCCCCTATTGCCCGGGGGCCCCATGAGTTGTCAGTCAGCCCTTGAGTTGAATGTTTGTTTCTAAATGCTGAGAGGTTATACAGGTAGATAGAAAGCTACATATGGTGGAAACTGTGCGGCTGTTTGACGCAGTCTGTTTCAGATGGCTTTATTTATATTGTGTGTCCTCAGACCTTGGATTCAGATGCATGCAGGGTCTGTGGTGTTTTCAGTTTTACAGTCACCTCCGTATCATTTTCATTTTCCAGATTTTTTTGCAGTTTCTCACTCCATGTACGCCTACAGTAGTGGCTGCATTCTGTGGAGTCATGAAGAGACGCGAGAAGCTACTTCTTGCTTCTGGTTTGATGGTCTGCAATTCTTCCATTCAGATTTAAATTTCTAATGAATAAAAATGTATTTAAAAAGCGAATATTTTTTTTTGGCATGACAAACTCTTTAGTTCTTTTGCGTGTATCATATTTTGCATGTATCATAGTTACAGCCTTCTGAATGGAGTCGTATGTTGCTGAGACACTTATTTACTATATCTACAAGACAAAGGCGATCCTTGGAGAGATAGACTTCCCTGGGGATCTTGTGTGATTTTCAACATGGATACAACACAGTGCAGTTATCCCTGTAAACGGCTCTTGTTTCGTGGTGGTGTGTTTTTTTCTTTATTGATGACAGTTTTTTTTTCCCACCTTTTTGTCTGTTTTACAGACTCAGTGTTTTGCACTGTACTTCTCTATGGGAGGGAGCAAGAGCATCATTCACATGAATGGCACTGCAAGACTCTCTCTGAATAGCTGGTTTAGGAAATGTCATCAAAAGGTCCTCTGGTTCTTGTGCACAGGTTTCATTAAAATTTGCTTTTGAAAAAGAAGCCACACTTTTATTTCAATTTCCAGCACTTACAACCTTTTTGGTTTCTGCTGTGGAAGCTGAAACAAATTTGAGAAGCGTCTTAAAGGAGAAGTACAGCCAAAGCTCTTTTGGATGTACTTCTCCTGTGGATCACAGGAGTGCAGTTCGTTCTGCAGTCCTGTAACCCATTTTCATCTGACAGCGGGCTGAAGTCCGCTATCGACTGACGTCACTCAGCCTGTCCAGGCTGGGGAAAGATCACGACTTTAAAGTCAGGAGCCACCCCAGAGTCTGGAGCAGCAACTGGTTCAGCCTCTGAGCGAGCTGCTGAGATCCTGAGCCAGCCGCTCCCTCCCCCTCCACAGGAGGGGGCAGAGCAGGCAGCGGTGATGGACAGTCGCCACTCTCTGCTCACAGTGGCAGTGACAACTCCGCGGTCATGTGATCATTGAGTTCTCACAATTAATGCTGACGGAGGACAGATGCTGCATCCACCTAGGTAAATATATTTATAATTTTACAGGTCCATTACACCTGGAGTTGACCCACCGCTGACCTGCATTTGCTCTGCTTCAAGCTAGTTTTGCATTCCTATAGACTTTTATGAGAATGCAATACCCATTTGACATGAAATGTCTGTTGATACAGACCCTTCAAATGATAAGGGAAGGGCTATAAAACGAATGCCACTAAATCTGTACATATATACCTGACTTATGTACTTTAGGGCCTCTTCTACACATGTGCGGCCCAGGACAGAAATGTTGGGTTGGCAAGCAATTCTGTTCCACAACTGTTGTAGTGCATTAGTTCCATTGAAAATTGCCATTTGGCAATAAATAAGCATTCATGAGAAGGCAGGATTGTGTGAATTTAGCCTAAATAACAAAGGAAAGCTATTCCATTTTGTCCTTCTACAGACCCCAAGCAACCTGTCATTGTTGCTCTTAATGGCCTTTACAGTGTTCCCATTCACTTTCCCAAAGCAGCAGCTATGTGCAGTCTGTGTACTAGTGCAGGTCTTTGCATATCAAGTAGTCTATCCAACACTCATTTTGATGATGTAGTGCAGCCTTTCTCAACCTTTACAACACTGAGGAACACATGAAATAACTCAGGGAACCCCTGCTAAAAATGACAATATCTACAAACAGTGATACATTAGTGTGATCAGTGGGAAGATTGCTCCTAAATCTGTGGTCACTGGGAAGAATTTCCCCCTTACAGAGCGATAAAAAGATCAATGGTGTCAGTGGGAACTTATCTAAGATGCAGAAATTGCTGATTGCTCAAGGAACCCCCAGCAACCGCTAGAGGAACCCTGGTTGATGGACCCTGATATAGTGTGAAGATATTCCCATCAGAACAATTGGTTGGGTATCTGGCAAAATGACTGCAAAATTGTGCACTTTTATTGAGTAGAATTATTCAGTTATTATTTTGTTGTGTAACATTAATTTTATTTTTTCTTTCTTTTCATGACTTTAACATACTTGCTGTAGCATAGTTTCATAATTCCATGGATTTGTAAAACGAAAAGTCGAAATGAAAGTCAAAATATCTGCTATACAGCTGCTGAGATGAGCCAAGCCAAGTCCTCTGCTAAAGCTATGATATCTCTAAGGAAGAAAGCTACTTGACAGACTGATCTCAGGGAAAAGGGTGATCAGCTATATTGAGTATTTTTGGGGAAACATTATTGCTTTTGCCCAGAAATAAATAATAATATTTCTCTATAAACATGCATTTTTGGGCTATGCATGTTTATGTGACTGTAAGAAAAAGATGATTCTATGGCAGTCAGGTCTTGCTTGCATATATGGGGAAAAAAGCATACAGTTGGCGCAAACACCTAGTGCATTATCCAAGGTTTATTAAAAAATTAAAAAACAAGAAATATACTCACAAACATAGCATGTGTGTAAAGCCTGTAAGGCCACAGAGATGGCCACAAGGGTAGCAGTGTCCAACTGATGGTGTGGTCTGCCTGCTGATGCGATTCGGGGAGGAATTCCTTTCCTCAGAGCTATCATAGATCGCTCTGAGGAAAGGGATTCGTCCCCGAAACGCGTCAGCGGGCAGACCACACCATCAGTCAGACACTCTGCCACCTTGTGGCATCTCTGTGGCCTTACAGGCTTTACACACATGCTATGTTTGTGAGTATATTTCTTGTTTTTTAATTTTTTAATAAACTTTGGATAATGCACTAAGTGTTTGCGCCAACTGTATGCTTTTTTCCAGTTTGTTGATCTCCCCATCTGAGGAGGGCTGCATCTCCGGAACGTTATCCATAGGCCATTTATACATCTGATCCCTTGGCTCTCCCCTGTCATTGGCTACCTCGAGGTGCTGGAGACTTTCACTTCTGTCTTGCTTGCATATATGACAAACCTCTAATATTTATGACCAGCTATAGGTTTTCATAGAAAGAGACCGACTGTAAAAGTTATGTTGTTCGTGAAGCCAGGTCTGTATATGTATATGTGATAAACACATATGACAGCTCCGTGTATATACAGCATATCATGAAAATACAATACATGGAAGCTTTATCAGTTATTAACACACATTGGGAAGGCTTTCTACATTAGGCTGATCACATTTGTGTATATATTTAAGAAGATTAAAGATTCCCTTTAAGAGAGTGTGGGCAGCCTGTGGGTAACAATTAGCAGAGCTTTCTATTTCTATTATTGTCAATAGATAGCAGATCTGCCAGTGTGTAACAATTACTAGAGCTCCTTAGGTTTCATTAGTTTTCAGGCTGTTGCTGTAGTAACATTGCTGTTTTTATTGACTTGGTTGTTTTGTCTTTCAGGTGGATGAAGGTGCTGCATTAGAGCAAGCCATAAAATTCTGCCAACTTCAGATGGGAGCAGCTGCACAGAAGCAGGTAGGTTCTCGGCAGTAGAAAGCAGGAGTTTCATAGGAGATAAAAATTGGAAGTTGATTATTATATATGTACTGTGTATGTTGTGGTATACAAGTAAATGCAATGTGCAGCGTAATAAGCAGACATTCTATACCTATGTCACCAAGCATGATGAGCCAAGAACAGTGAGAACTGTCATAAGTGCTTGGCTCATCATACTTGGTGACATGGGTATAGAATGTCCACTACCAAAGAAACATCATAGAACCCACAACATGGAATTGTCAGTATTGTTCTTAGCAATTACATTTCACAGAGTCATTTTTGGGTTGATCAATAAGAATGCAGCCTACTTGTTCTAAAAGCGAGTGGGCAGTGTGATCGATGCTTGACCTCTAAAAAAAGTATACCTGCTCTGTAGTATATGAAACATTCAAATGGACCCACAAGAAAATCTCAAAAGAAACTTTACTTTAAAATCTGGCCTGTATGATTTTATAAAAATGAGAATTGTGGGGGTGGTTTTCTCCAAGAAGTATATTTCTGTATCCCTCTGGTGCCTGGCGTCAGTGCAGAGACACATTGGATGTTGAGAGACTAATGTCAGGAGACTATTCAGGTAGGGCTGCTGGCAGGCTGGATATGCCCTAGGCAAGCCATAGACAAGTCGAAAAAACGAACGTTCTGTTGATCGACAAATGAAAATGGCACATGTTGGATAAGGCACTTTCGATTGCGACACAAAAATCGAGTGTCGTAGCTGGCACACTAATGATACAAAAAATAAACGACCAAGAATTTTTGTTCTGTTTTCGACTCATCTATGGTCTGCCTTAAAAGTTTCTTAAGAACTTATAGGCATCACACCAGTGCCTTGGCATTGGTGATTTGACCAGACATGAAGGGAGGGTGGAATAGCCCTTTTTATAGAAAACTGTATTCTTTTGAACATTTTATTTTCCTTTTTATGATTCCTTGTTGGCTAAATGTTAAAACAGAGTTGTACATATTAATGTCTCGCTGTGGGCTTCCTCCAAAGGGGATAATGATTTCACTGTCAGGGAGAATTATCATTCTTATGTTTCAGCTGTCTTTTTTCTTTTTTTTTTTCTGTAGTGCATGCTTGGATCATTTGCAGTGAGCAGTTCAGACAAAGTGTGTAATGAAATCGAAGAGGGTATTAGATAAGGATGCTTCCAAGAAAAAATGTAATCTCTTTTTTTGGCATGATTCTGTGAATTAACATGGATGGGCCACCATATCCCGCAGCCCCCTAGGGGTTACACTGTTGCCTACATTACATGGCAGACTAGAATCTGAACAGGGAAGTGTTTGCATACCGAACAATATTTATGACTAAACACTGGATTGTATTAGCATGTGGCAATGCAGGTGTAATTATTTATTGCAGCACTGTGTCCCAAGCTGCAGGAGTTGCGGGTCTATAGATAGGACACTGTTGTGAGTTATTATTAAAGCAGTATTACAATTAAATGCAATTTGATGTGACGGCTGCATTCGTTTTCATTTTTAGGCTTGCTTTCTTCTAGTGGCCCTTTTTTCATCTGGTGATGCAGCCAGTAAATCTGCTGTTTTACAAAAGAACAGGCTCTCTCCTCCAGATTTATCAGTTTACAGGAATGAGACATACCATTTACCACTGATGGGGTGCTTACAGTGATCAGCTTTTTTTTTTCATGTAAAACCTTCATCCCAAAAGGAAAATATTACATTTTTGGATTTGAGTTAAATATTGCCTTAATCACTGTCACCATCGCTGATATTTGTATGGTAAGAAAAAGTAAAGTAATCAAACTTTAATAAGCCTGGTGATTCCACCTGTCTTAGGGTGACAACGTTCACTTGGTCTTCTGTGTCTGGACAAGAGTAACAAGATAGGTGTATGGAGTCCTGCCCCTCTTATTTTGTCCATAAAACAAGGAGGGGCATGACTCTGTAGTTCACAGAGAATAATGTACAGTGCCTTGAAAAAGTATTCATATCCTTTGAAATTTTCCACATTTTGTCATGTTATGGGGTATGAATACTTTTTCAGGGCACTGTAATTGATAATAGCCCAAGCACAGAGCCAAGGAAGTTATCCAGCTAGAATAACAGGGATTTTTCAGAACTGATCAACCAGATATAACAAAATGCCTTTAATTGTATATTTAACAGACCAGTAGGGACCAAAATAAGAGCAGTTCACCTACATTTTAATGGGTTCAGCAGATTTGCATATCAGCATTTCCCCATCTTTAGAAGCTGAGGGAGCTTACAGTTTGTAAGGAAGTCTACAGTTCAGACATATACTTTGTGGGCTAGAACATTGAAGTTAAAGTGCAGCCTATTTATTATGTAAAAACTGGTCTGCTGGGGTAGACTGAACTCTGTGTAATCCCAGAAAAAATGCTCCTCCCCAGTGCATAGGTGACTACATTTTTAAGATGCTTATTTTGGTACCTCTTCTTGGAAAATAGAGCTGGCTGTGGAGGGATAGAAATTTTGATTTGTGTGGCCATCCCTGCTCAACACAAGCCAGACATTTGATTGACATCTTCAAAGGGACATGCTGGAAAACGTTTGTCAAGTGTTGATAAAGTAAATAAGCGGCTGCAGACGCTGATCAGAGTATTTTGACAGTGGGGAATCCCACTGTCAGAATACAATGTCCCTGCAGGGGGAATGGGAGGATCCTCCTCACTTTTATGGATGGAGGAATCTGTTGTTTTAAATGAACTCTGATTTTGCTATCTGGTAGAAACCTTTTACTATAGAGCCAGGAAATGCTTTTCTTTTATCTGGTGTACTAGTGAGAGCCTGAGTGTGGCTTGTGGCTTGTTATGTTAATGCCGTTTGTACAAAGAGGTATTTACCATTTCCTGAGTGACAACACTGTTCTGAAATGGCAGATTAGCTATGAGGTTATTGCCTATGAGAGCGAAGTATCTTCCATCTTTTATCAAATATGATCTTGTCAGAAGCTGCCAAGCCAGCGTTATAGAATTTCCCAATGTCATCATTGCATCTCCTAAACACAGAAAACAAAAGTATGATTTCTTGATACTATGAGTTTCCGTTTGGCGTTATGAAGAATATGCAGAATGTCTCTATTGCATGGAAAGCAGGCATTGTGAACTGCTCCTGAAATGCCCTGTATGTCAGAGCTCTCTCCGTCCATAGACTAGAATCTGTACTTAGAATCTGGCACCAACTTAAGCCAAGAGCCTGGATATTTCCCGCAGCCTTATTTCATGAGAGATCATCAAGGTGAGCATGACTACAAGATACAATCAGCAAGCTTTGGGGACTTGAAAGGCATATACATCCAATATCAATGGATTCTTCATAGATATGAAGAAACAACTGAGTGTCCAAATACAGCACTCTTTGTATTGGCTTTGTAGGAGGGCGAGGAGACAGAAATTGCTTCAGATCTTTCCAGTAAAGTCTCCAAGTGACATAAGAAGTCCAGCAGAATTTCACTTTTGCTGTAAGAACTACACTAGAAAAAACCTGCCATGTATTTACTTCAACATTGACTAGGCCATGTCCATTCTTCTTTTGTGATGATCATTACATATGTTGGTATTTTTGAGTACCATTTTGTGCAGGTTTGGGTTGCCCCCATTTGTCACAGCATAATGCATTCAATCATAGCTTGCATTTGTATAAACTTCTCTAGACCTTTCCAATCACAAAATAACATTTTTGTGTGTGTGCTTTTTGGCCTTCCTTCTCCTATGGATCACAGGAGTGCAGTTCATTCTGTATTCCTATGACCCATTTTCAGCCAACAGCTGGCCAAATCCTGCTGTCGCCAGACGTCACTCAGCCTTTCCAGGCTCAGGAAAGATTCCGTTTTTACAGTCGGAATCCACCCAGATGCCCGAACCAGCAACTGGCTCAGCCTCTCAACTACACCATGAGGAGACCGAGCCAACTGCTCCTACCCCTTGCACAGTCCATCTCTCCAGTGAGCGCTGGAGGGGCAGAGCAGAGAGCTAGTAACTGATAGTCACTGCTCTCTGCCCAAAGCGGTGTTTGATCACTCATTTCCCAGTGCAGAGGAGGCAGGGGACAGATGCAGCATTAGATCGATACAATGTTGCATCTACCTAGGTCAGTATAATTTTTTTTTTTAATCCCATACTTCTCTATTAATGTGTTGTATGGGCTTTTGCCTCTTCATGCAGGTTAGCCTTGTGCTGCTCTTGTACTGTATTTTATTCATTTCTGTGAGCAGTTGGCAGTGCAGTATATAGAGGACTTTTATCATCTAAAGGTTACAGAGGAGAGGAGCAATGTTCATATGTAGTTTGATGTATAAATTCCCATCATCTAGAAGTAGAGCCTTGGTGATACACCCAAGTATACAGGCAGCTATCTGAGATTTCAGCTGTAGGGTTTGCAAATTGCATCTCCCTTAATATATCCCACCTGTAGTATTTAAATCATGCATGTAATATAACTTGGTTTGTATGGAACAGCCGTTCTGGTTCTATTCATCATTTTCCCACAGATAATCTTTTATGATTCCCTTTTATTTTAAAGCCTATAACATCCTTCTTCTTCTTTTTATTGGTAACATTCACAGAGATGTTAAAAGCCGTTTTAGCCCTGGTTCACACCGGTGCAACTTTCAGTTTCAAATTGTATGACAAGTCGCACCCTATTGTCTGCAGTGGAACCGTTCAAATCTGTGGACTCCATTGGAGTCACACTGATTTTGAAGGTAGTTCCTGCACTACTTTTTGTGATTTCAGGTGTGACTTGTTTAGATATCTGTGCATAAAGTCACACAGACGTCTTCCAGGTCGCATGCTTGAAGTGAAGTTGCGCAATTTCAAAGTCGGATCCATTGTGAACCAGACCTAAGACAGCTCATATGCAATTGGTTTGGTCCCCTGAAAGTGTTGCAGATGTTTCAAAAGATTCATTGCTCCAGGCAAGTGCATAGACCAATCGCCCTTTTCTACATCAACAGGTGCCGATCCGATCTGTGATCGCAGCAATGTGAAAATGAAGATGAAAAGCTGACCGCACTACAACAATGTAGCCGATAAAATGTTGTTTATTGATTGAAATCTTCAAAACACATACAGTGCATACATCACAGCTTTAGTATATCCTCTGTCCATATGTCAGAGCTGTGATGTGTGTACTTTATAAGTTTTGAAGATTTCAATCAATAAACTACATTTTATCGGCTACATAGTTGGAGTGCGGTCAGCCTTTCATCTTCATTTTCATGTTGCAGATGTATCCTGTATCCATACAGCTTTTATTATAGGATGAAAGACATTTTTCATAGGTTTTCTTTATGGTACTGTATGATGATCAGAAAAATATACAAGTAATTAAAACAGTTAAGAAAAATAGTATACAATAAAACAAGCTTTTAAAATATTTGTTTAGTCAGATAGATGTGTCTTTTTTTAGGTAATATTTCATATTTACCATTTTGCTAACAGCAGTTAGTGACTGCAAGTCTGGTATTCCAGAGTTTCAGATTGCTGGTTTACTGCTCCGCTGTGACTACAGACCTGCTAACAGCATCACGAATTGTACATATCCAGCTATGAATGTCAGCTGAATGGTTCAGAGGGGAATAGTGCCCACTAGATCTTAAGTTCATTGATTCCAGAGCTAGTGTTGGGCTCTCTTATTTGAAAGTCTAGCATGAACTGCACACACACAGTTATGTGTATCTCTTGCACAGCTTTACAAGTGGACCTGTATCGCTCAGCAGCACTATTGCCATGCCCCATTCTCATAGAGCTGCCTCAGGAGGGACTACATGCCCTGTCATACACAGTAAAAGGTTTAGGCAGGTGTGAAAAAATGCTGCAGATGAAGAATGCTTTCAGAAATAGAAGTGTTCATAGTTTATATCAATTAACAAAATCAGTAAAAAAAAAAAAAAAAAAAAGTAAATGAAGAGAGATGAAATCCACATCAAATTAGTATTTGCTGTGACCACCCTTTGCCTTTGAAACCGTATCAGTTCTTCTAGGTACACTTGCACACAGTTTTTAAAAGAACTTGGCAGGTAGGTTGTTCCAACCATCTTTGAGAACTAACTACAGACCTTCTGTGGATGTAGGCTGCCCTAAATCCTTCTGTCTCTTCATGTAATCCGAGACAGACTCCATGATGTTGAGATCAGGGCTCTGTGATGGCCAAACCATTACTTCCAGGACTCCTTGTTCTTCTTTACACTGAAGATGGTTCTTAAGGACAAGGGCTATATGTTTGGGGTCGTTGTCCTGCTGCAGAATAAATTTGGGGCCAACCACACGCCTCCCTGATGGTATGGCATGGCATGATGGATAAGTATCTGCCTGTATTTCCCAGCATTGAGGACATGGATCTTTAACTCAGAAAGCATTGAAGTCAGTGGGGCAGCATTCCAGCCAGGTAATCAGTTTATTGCTTTCTGAGCAATGTGTATTACATTTTCATATTCTTAAAATGTCTGTATGTAATTATACTGACCAGGTTTAAATAGCATTAAATGTAAAACTGTTCTAGGAATTTAAGAAGCCCCTGAAGCTGTCAGATCTCCCCCAGTGCTCAATATACAACTCAGGCCTGATTTGAGTTAATGGTACCTATTCAAACCAACCAATTACAGATCAGATTTAAGTGGTCTGATTGTTTTTCTTGGTTTATAATCACATTTGAGTGTTATGGATCCCTCTTACTTCCCCTACCTATGGTTATATAACCTATACTTCACATGGAATAAACAATTGTAGAATGAATGTGTTCCAGGGTCTTGTTCACTCTATCATCTCGCTCTCCTGTCATTTATTTGTGCCTGTCTGTTCTTCCATGCACATTCTTGCTGTCACAGAATGTGCAGTGTGAATGAAGCCACATAGATGCTGAGATGTACTGAGAGGGACTCTGCACATTCCACATACTTCTAAGGGGTTTTTTTGAGAACTGGGTTTCCCTGTTGCCATGGCGCCCTCTGTCTTATAATAAAAAGGCTGTCCTCCTGCCCTGGCTTCTGAAATCTCTCGTCACCATCCAAGGACGAAATGGAAGGGGGGGGGGGGGTTGTTTTTTCTCCTCTTTCTATTTTTTTTTCCTCATTCCCAGAGATGCCCAGACAGCTGGCTTTGTGCCAGGTGGGAACAACCACTACTCTGGAGACAGTCAGGACTGGGAGAGTGAGTCACAGGAGAGTAGAGGCTGAGAAGTAGGGCAGATGTGTGTGGATCTGTGAATACATGCCTGTGTGTAGCAGCTATGCATATCCTGCCTGTAAGAGTAGTCGTTTTTTTACTTGGTATGCTTCATGTATAAAATAATGCATAAACCAGATGGTCAGGAGTGCCTGGTGCATAGGAATGTTTATTATAATACCATTGGGATCTGTGGTGTATACAGTCTAGATTTTTATTGCTCTTGTTGATGTAATTTTAAGACACTTTGTGATGGATGTATGAATTATGAAATAGGAGGACAGAAGAGAGGATGGGTATAGCATCCAATCAGATTTCATTCTTTCGAATATGTATGCTTTGGGCAGTGGCTAAATATGTTCCTTATTTTAAGACACCATCACATGGTACATTTGGTGTAACATATGCCATGATATGTCTTAGATCTTCGAGTCTTTCTGTTCTGTGCAGTTTTCACCATGCTGGATATTGCAGTTCCTCAGTAACCTACAGGACCATTTGGTGACCATACCTAACCTAGGGCTTGTTTACATGACATGCCTTTTTAATAGGAAAGGACACTTAGGGGTTGATTTACTAAAACTGGAGAGTGCAAAATCTGGTGCAGCTGTGCATGGTAGCCAATCAGCTTCCAGTTTTATTTGTCAAAGCTGAATTGAACAAGCTGAAGTTAGAACACAATTGGCTACCATGCACAGCTGCACCAGATTTTGCACTTTTCGTATGTCGACCCCTTAATATCCAAAAATGGGCAAATGTCTCAGTTGGAATGGTGGGTGGTGAGACATCTGCTTGTCCTCAAACAAGCAGGTAATAATACATAGGTGCACACATATTCCTTCATTTTTCTTCACAGAATAGAGGAGTGATGCCCACTCATACAGACGTTGTCCAACCTCCTGGAAGTCTGCATGTACAATACTTGCTTCTGACTATTGGAAGCCCTCTTCACCTTCCCGTACAAAGCCCAGTTTTCACTTGGTAATCATAGGTGACCATTGAACTATAAATGGTTACTGCAGAGGAGCTACTGTCTATAGAAGAAAACAGGTAGTGCAAGCAACAAATCACATCTTCACCATTTACCTACTGACCTGTACATCTACTGACTTAAGCTATGCTCAAACATGAACTCATGTTACTGGTGGCTACAACTCTGGTAATTAACTGTGTATCTCCCATATTCATATGCTGCATTATGTTCCTATTTGTATTTAACAATTCTTCAATAGAAAAGTGTTGAAAGTGGAAACAGGCAATGCAACTCCCAGTCAGTATGGGAAATGGCTAAGAGGGATGTAATGAAAAGCAGAGTAACACAGGGCTTTTTCTATATAACACATCATTATACTCATTTGCAGATGTATTGATATCTACATTTTTATCTGCAGCAACCTTCAGATACTCCAAGCACTCCAAAGACTACAAAAGAACCCCGGGAGATACCTTTCCCATTGCCAGCTGTCTCAGTACAACTCACTCCCCTCAACCTGTCCTCATTCACTTCAGAGAGCCTACTGCGACTCTCTGAGCACCAGGTGAAAGTTCGGTCATCACAAGCCACCTCATCATCTCAGCCTGAGGCCAGCCGAGGAACCGGGACCAAAGCCTGCTCTACCATGTCGCAAGCCAACCGTAGTGAGTCTTGGCTTTACCTGTAACGTTTCATCAATGTTATAGACTAGGTTCATATTGTTTCACATATTCACCTGAACACAGTAAACTTCTATCTCATAATGATTGTCTATACGAGCCTTTCTCAACCTTTTCAACACAGAGGAGCCCTTGAAATAATGTTCCGCTCTCAGAGAACCCCTGCTAAAAATTACAATATCTATATCCCATGATACATTAGTGTGATAGTCAGTGGGAAGAATGGGCCTTACACTTGTGGTCATAGGGAAGAAATGACCCCCCTTACAAATAGCTAAAGAGACCAGTGGTGTCAGTGGGAACTTACCTGTGAGGCAGAAATTTCTCATTGCTCAAGGAACTCCTATCAACTTCTGAAGGAACCTTCGTGTTCCACAGAACCCTGGTTGAGAAACCCTGGTCTATACTGTAGTCTGCATAGAAGGTTATTCCTTGTGTTCATGTTAGAACAGGTGCATACAGTATATTCTTCAATCATTGTCTGTGCATTTATTGTGGACTTTTACTAATGTGTGCATTTAATTCCCCTTTATCCCACTGTACATCCATATTGTTAACAGTTCCTTCTTATATTTCTCTTTATCATATCTCTTTTCTAAAAAGATGAACATGTGGAGGACACATCATTTCCTCGTCAAGACTCACGTGTAAGCCAACCTGCCAAAGCTGCAACTATCAGCACAACATCAGACTCCTCCGATTGGCATTCGGACAGGGTCACAAGCTTTGCCAGTACCAGTCACACAGAGACAGGTAAGCATGATCTAAGGAAATATATAAAGACAAATTGAAATATGGATCACTGCTTTAGATTTCTATGTGAAGTAACAGAAAAACATCTAATATTATGCCACCACTGTTCTGCTTCACTTGAGCTGTCTACTTTGGTGGCATCTGCCCAATTTGATATAATCATCGTTAGGCCTTTTACACATAGATTCAGCTTGCAAAAGAGGAGCATGTGGCTGCAGCCATGAGCCTAGTATAATCTTTTTCAGCCAGAGATAAGCTTTACTGTAAAAGTGATCCAAGCCACTGGATCACATTACAGCACTTGGAAGAGTGATCCAACCCCCCTGCTTGGTACCATAGTGAGGTGCCCAGGACTGCTGTAACTCAGGCCCGGACTAGCCATAGGGCGGGCCGGGCTGAAGAAGAGTGGCCTGTTGATGACCGGGCCGCACAGCAAGAGGTAAGCCGCGGCCTGAACAGAGCTAACATAGACCACGGCTGCCACTCACCTCCCACTGTGCGGCTATGCCCAAATCAGGGCTGACAGAAGGAGCGGCAATGATGGCTCCAGTGACAGGCAGGAAGCACTGCCGAGGTCCCCGACCGGCCGCTGCACTGAAGGAACAGCGACCTCTCTCCTTCACCCATTGGCACACTGTTACAGCTCGGCAATGGATTGGGCTGTCTCTTTGCTGGATGGGGCTGTCTCTTTGCTGGACAGGATGTCGCTGGATGTCTCTTTGCTGGACAGGGTCTCTTTGTCTCTCTTTGCTGGATGGGCAGGCTGTCTCTTTGCTGGATGGGCAGGCTCTTTGTCTCTCTTTGCTGGATTCTCTTTGCTGGATGGGCAGGCAGGCTGTCTCTCTTTGCTGGATGGGCAGGCTTTGTGGATGGGCAGGCCGTCTCTTTGCTGGATGGGCAGGCCGTCTCTTTGCTGGATGGGCAGGCTGTCTCTTTGCTGGATGGGCAGGCTCTTTGTGGATGGGCAGGCCATCTCTTTGCTGGATGGGCAGGATGTCTCTTTGCTGGACGGATTGTCTCTTTGCTGGATGGGCAGGATCTCTCTTAGCTCGACGGGCTGTCTCTTTGCTTGGTTGAGCTGTCTCCTTGCTGGGTGGGCTGTCTCTGTGCTGGACAGGCTGTCTCTTTGCTATATGGGGATGTCTCTTTGTTGGATTGGGCCATCTCTTTGAATATATAAGGGGCACTGTGATTAGATCTCTAGGGGCACTGTAATGTAAATGGGCACTATGATATAAAGGGGACTGTGCTGTAAAGGGGCACTGTAATCAGTACAGTGCCCCTTTACAGTGCAGTCCCCTTTATATCATAGTGCTCCTTTACCTTTTAGTGTGGAGGACCGACTCCATGAATATTCCATCACCAACTGCCCCACGAAGGCCCCCCCCCCCCCCCCCCCCCCCCCCCCCCGCCCTGGAAAAATTGGCTGCTCAGTCTAAAATGCTTGGCCTATTTTTTTTCCCAGTCCGGGCTTGCTGTAAGTGGTTGAGTTGGCTGCACACAGAGAAGGCAGAACATACATTTCCCCGAAAAGGATTTCATCACTTCTAGTTTCAGTACTATGTTCCCTGACCGTACAGCCAGGGGAGCATTTGATCTAACTGATTTGGGTTTGATCAGATGGTTTGAAGGGCAGGAGAGAGTGGAGGTCTAATAGACCCCTGATCTCTCCATAAGAACTACCTATCACTGCCCAAAGCTATCACAAGGGGTTGGTGCTCACCCTTTGTCATTGCAATAAAGATGAATAAAGAAAAAAGTTCAAAAAATATATTTAAATAAAATAAATAGAAATTATTTTTAAAAATGTTATTTCACAAACATTTTATTTAAAATTTTTAAAAGTACAAAGAGGCCATAGCCAAAAAGTAATTACATTTTGAATTATTACAACCAAGAGTACAAGATAAGGCCAGTAAAAGTGAAGGTGCATCATAGTAAAAAGGCACTGATATTGTCTGACCAAAGGATTCAGCAAGGTAGTTAGTGAAAAGCAGGAAAAATCAGAATTAATGTCCTCGTATGGGAAGAGTTTGCTGTTCGCTGACAACATTATCACTGAGCAACAAGAAGAAAACAGGAGGTTGGACATGCAATGGAAAAGGGAGAAAGGGAAGGGATAAAAAAGGATCCTCCAACTCCGAGCAAACAGCAGTGCCTGGAAAGTAGATATGACTAAGAAGGGGGAAGAGCCTAGTTAGTCTCCACGTGGTAAGCTATAAAGGAGTTAGAATCAGAGAAACAAAAAGGAGAAGAGAAAGAAAAAGAAAGGGGGAGGGAAGAAACGCTTGCCTGGGGAAGATGAAAAGAGGGAAAAATGAGGGGAGAGGTGGGGGACCGGGTGGTAAATTTAAAAACATCCTGTCCCTTCATGCTAGCACACAAATACAAGCACACACATATGTCTCGCACGCAAACAGTGCTAGCACCACAAATGTTGGGTATCACCATGAACATCAGAGTGAGAGATATAATTCTAGCAGCAGAGCTCACGCTTTAACTGTACATTGGTAACCTTTTAAAACATAGTCTACGGACAATTTCTGGTACCATAGTTTGTTGCCATTTTAAAAGCATGCGCAGTTTTTTGTCTTTGACATGTTTGGTATCTCTTTACTCGATGCAACATGCAAGCGGTAAACTTTTACAGATCATTTTTTAAGCCTTTAGCAAGTTTCAAGCAGCTTTCTTTAAATCCTTTAACCTCTTTTCCTCCCCAGGCCAATTCTGACACTTCTCACATACATTTAACTTCAGCATTTTTTTGCTAGAAAATTACTTAGAACCCCCAAACATGTATTTTTAACATAACATAACATTTTTAACATTAAACATATTTTTTTAAAGCAGAAAACAAGAATATAAAGAATAAAATGGGCGTTGTTGAATTTTTTATGCTGAAAAATAATTGCACAACCATTTCTAAAACTTTTTTTTTTTTTAAATACACTAATGAATTTTAGTGCACACAAACACATTATAATATCCAAATTTTTTGGTAAATTATAAAAGATGTTATGCTGAGTAAAGAGATCCCTAACATGTCACGCTTTAAAATTGCATACATCCATGGAACAGCGACAAACTATGGTAACTAAGAATTTCCATAGGCAATACTTTGAAAGCCTACATAAGCATTCACATTTGTGCGTGGGCACAGGGGGATACGGGCACTTTAAAATGTATTTTATTTTTTTAACATTTTTGTTATACCCTCTCTATATTTTTTTTATTATCAACTTGCTATCACAAGGAATAAACAACATCCTTTGTGTTAACAATAGGCATAACAGGTACTCTTTATGGGGACATGTGGGGTCTATTAGACCCAGATCCTCTCCTCTGCCCTGAAAGCATCTGATAAAAACCAAAATTGATTTGATTAGATGCAATACAAGCCAGTAATGGCTTGAAAACATCAAACCAAAAGTGACAAAATCCTCCTCGCATACAGTTTTTTACGTCACAGAGGGGAGGTGGGTACAGATGTACCTTCCTCTTCTCTCGGTTCACAAGCGTCCACAGCAGCGGTGGTACTGGGCTTCTTGATCACATGGGAGACCCCAGTAAAGATAACAGCAGGAGGGGGGCCCCCTTTCGCACCTTGTAGGAGTGATTGAGTTGCTGTATAGCAGCTCAGATCACTATTACATGAAAGCATATTGGCTGCCGGAAATTTTGATACTGGGAGTCATCACCCAGGTATAAACTACTTCCATCCGAGGACATATGGCTACGTCCTAAGTGGTTAATGAGTGTGTCAAGAAAAAAAAAAAAAAAGTACTACAACTCTGCAATACACATTACATTTAGTTCGATAAAGTTCATCATATCCAATCAATATAAAGAAAAAAAAAATAATAAACCTACATATAACTAGGTTTTCCTCACAAAAAATTATATAGTATCATGCATAAAAGAAAAGCGTGACACCAAATAGCTTAGTGTTTAATTACCTGCTTGAATTTTTTATACAGATATTATATGAATAACAACATACACAAGCCAGAACTCCCCAATAGAGATGTGCAGTTTGTTTTGTTCCAAATCGAAATTTGGACATTTCCGTGATTCAGATATATCCAAATTACAATAGTAATGATAATGAATTTAAATGAATCCAAAATAAAACAAACATGTGTCCAAAATAACGAATTCGAAATGCAAACATATTGCTGACTATTGTTGATTTTTTTCAAAGACTATGGGGTTGATTTACAAAAAGCAAATAGACTGTGCACTCCAAGTGCACTTGAAAGTGTACTTGCAAGCATACCTGAAAGAGCAGTTCCTCCACATGTGTGGGAAACATGCAAAAAAATAAAAATAAAAAACAGCATTTTTGCTTGCACATGATTGGATGAAAGAAATCAGCAGAGCTTCGCCTTATTTCAGAGCTTCCCCTCAGATCTAAAGCAACTGCACTTCCAGTGCACAGTATATTTACCTTTAGTAAATCAATAGCTGATTTACGAAATTATATATAGCTGTCTTCCAAAATTCAAATTTCAAAAAGGATAGACTAGAATGGAAAATAGTATAGAAAATATGAATATAATAAAAAGAATAGTATATATCAGTCTTCTGAAATTCAAATTTTGAATAGAATAAAATAAAAAGAATATAGCTGTCTTCCGAAATTTAAATTTTGATAAGAATAGAAAAAAACAAAATAAAACAGAATAGAAAGAAAATAAAGTAATAGAATATATCAGTCTTACGAAATTAAAATTTCAAATAGAATAAAATTTACATTTGACTTTTGATAAGAATAGAAAAGAACAGAATGAAACAGAATAGAAAAAAAAGGAATAGAAAAATAGAGTAGACTATAGCTGTCTTCCAAAATTCAACTAGAATAAAACAATAGAATAGAGTAAAATAGAACATAAAAAAAATAGAATAGAAAAAAATTGATTAGAATAAAATAGAATATAGCCATCTTCCGAAATTCAAATTTTGAATAGAACCAGCTATTCTTCACAATGAATTATGATCGATTTGATATTTTCAATTCAAATTCAATTTGAATACTTTGAATCCATTGGAAAAATTTGAATCTGGTCGAAAATAAAAAAAACAAATTTCGTTACAGATGCAACTAAACAAAATTAGTAACTAAACAATTAGATCCGAAACAAAACAAATATTTTTGTTCTGCAAATGTCTACTCCCCAACAAGTCCATGATAATCATGATGCATAGTACAGCAATATAATCACCAATGCTAGATTGAAGAGATTCTGTGTTCAACAAGTGGACATAAAGGTAGTAGCAGGAAAGTACCAGAAATACAGGAGACAGATGATGTTGTTGGGAGAACCCATTTCTGAAGTCCGTTCCACTTAGTGGCAAATATCATTATGGTTTACACTTTTAGCGCTGGTTTACACCGATGTGACTTGTCATGTGGTTTGACCATTTCAAATTGCATGACAAGTTACACCCTATTGTTGGCAATGGAATCATTTAAATCTGTGTTACTCCGACTTTGTGGTGCGACACCGATTTGAAGAAAAGGTTCCTGCACTATTTTTTGCAATTTCAGGTGCGACTTGCAAAGACATCTGTGCATGAAGTCACAGATCTCACTTGAAGTCGCACTGACATGCGGCTTTGAAATCTCAAAGGCGGATCCAGTGTGAATTTGGATAAAGGAGAAGTTTGGGGTTACTAATAAAAAAAAAAATTATATACTCACTTCTTTGCTGCAGCTTTGCTGTGATGCTGCAGCTGTCCCCTGCTAGCTCTAAGCTTGCAAACTGAGCGATCACATGACTTGATCGCTCAGGTCTTGATCTGCTTGAAGTGGAGAGCAGCCACCGCTGTCCACTCTGCCCCTCCAGCAATCACTGGAGCATTGGAAAGGGGTGGGCACAGCTGGATTGGGCTCTCAGCCATGCACTGAGAGCTAAAGTCAGCTGTCAATTAGGCAGCTGTGTGGATCCTAATAAAATGGCTTGGAGCGGCTCTGTGACATCAGCCAACAACAGGCTTTAGCCAACTGTTGGCTGACTCTGGGTCACATGAATGAAAACGTAAAGTGCACTCATGTAACCCACTAAAGAAATAAGGCCAAAAAAAGCTTTTAACACAACTATCAGTTCCACTTTGGGAAAGTTAAACACAGATCAAATGGTGAGGGCTAGCTGTCACTTTAAAAAAAGACAGATAACATGTTTTAGCAAGTACTGAACTTGAAAATTGCTAAAGCCTGTCAGCAGCTTGATAAACAGTAAGTACTTCCATTTTGTTCTGTGTTTAACATCCTCAAATTGGAGATGAAGGCTTTAAGGGCTTCAAAAAAGTTGCTTAAATCTGGCTGGAATTTTTTTGTGTGTGAAGTTTTGCTCTACACACTGCATTTGTAGAAGCTGACTCCTGTTTGTACACAGCCCCAGAGAGCGGGATTAGAAGTAAAATGGATCACCTGCAATACTAGGCTTCTCCTCCTTTTGACTAGAAGTCAGCCTTAAGACACAAACCCTTTCAGTGTCTCATCCTAAGATCTAGTTTCCTTGTGTCATTTGTAAGCAAGGACTTGGCATTAAATCTTCCTGTATGTAAATGTATTCTTTAGCTGCCATATGTGGTTAGGGAACAGAGTGGAGTATTGTACTTGTCCAACAGCAGGTTGGGCTTTTATTAGATGATTTCTCAGAATTATGTCTGAATTGAAATCAAGATGTAATGTGAATACCTCATATCAGGATAAGAAATAGATTTGAAGCCAGTCCTGACATCCGGAGTTCTACAAAGTCTCCTTTCCCACAAGAACAGGCAACCTATGATCTCTTCAGCTTGCACAAGCATCAGTACTGCGGCCCGCTGATTACACATAGTGAAATAATTCTGTGATATCTGTGCGATGCACACCAATGAAAACGCTGGAGTGGACAACCACATGCAGTATTCTTCCTGCACAATTGTCCTAAACCCCTTCATTGTTTCGTCATGGTGGAATACGCTTAACCCCTTGTCCACTAACATATGTTTATCAACAGCACAGTATACAGGGGTTTTAAACAAACTTGCTATTGATTTTTACATCCAGTGAAAGGCTTTTGTAAAAACGTGATCTTGATGGCTTGAGGAGTGCTCCCCCCCCCCCCCCCCCCCACATCCTTGTGATAGCAATAAAGTTGAATGCAGAAAAAAAAGTTTTACCATAAATTATAATAAAATAAATAAATAATAAAACTATTTTTTTTTTTCAAGCACCCCTGTGCACATCCCAATTCTAAGAACGCAGCACCACACATATGCAGTGTTGCTGTGAATGTTGTGAGAGCAATAATTCTAGGGCTATCATTCGCAGTTAACGTTAAAGTGGTTGTAAAGCCTCAAGGTTTTTTACCTTCATGCATCCTATGCATTAAGAAAAAACCTTCTCTGTGCAGCAGCTTCCCTAATACTCATCTAAGCCTCCTCTCATCCAGATATGTGCACTGACGTTTCGGCTATCCCGGGACTCCTTCTTCTCATTGGCTGAGACAGCAGTGAGAGCCATTGGCTTCCACTGCTGTCAATCACAGCTAATGAGAAGACAGAGGGGGCAGGGCCTAGCCACAGCTTCGTGTGTAAATGGATACACAGAGCAGCAGGTGCCCCCATAGAAAGCTGCTTGCTGTGGGGGCACCCGACAGGAGGGAGGAGCCATGAGAGCCTGCAGGGGACGAGAGGAAAGGAAGATTCTGGCTGCTCTGTGTAAAACCACTGCATACAGCAGGTAAGTATAGACATGTTTTTTGCCTTCCTCTGGATCAACTGTGGGTATAGGATTATAACTTTTGGGTTTTTTTTATGAACTGGATGGACTTTTGTCTTTCTGCAGCCAGACTAACTATGTTTGTTATTTTTAGTAAAAAAAAACCTTTAGTATCGCTTTAAACTTATAAACTGACAAGGCTTTTAAAGCATCGCCTATGGAGACTTTTGAGTAAAATAGTTTTACGAAAAACTGGGTAATTAAAATGTTTTTTAAAGCCAATGTTTTTATAGATTTGGCTAGAAATATGAAAACGTGTCTAAACATCTGTCAGTTTATTTTTGCTGTCTGTTCCTTTAGGGAGTTTTTCCTTCACTTCATTACCCACAGGGGCAACAGAAAGTTAGAGGAATCCACTAAGAAGTGTAGGATAGATAGGTTGTTTTCTTTTTAGATAGATTTCACACTTGTCTGCTTGTGTGTTACATCAGTGCACATTTTTAATTGTATAAATCAATGTATTGAATTTTACAGAATATATTAATGTTCAAAAATTACAAGAAAAAAGGTATAAAATGTACAAAATAGTGGTCTATAACCAGCAATAAGCAAACCACCAAGTGCTGAAACCATTTCTGAAAGTCTTCTTGCCTGTACTGACATAACATTCACCCTAACTGACCGTAAGAAAAGTACCAGCATTTTTCAATAATACAGTGCACCACAACACATGGCAGTGCATTACTCTACTTTTTAATGTGCTGCAATGCGTGTGCATTGTAGAAGTGTCTCGGGGTGCCATTCAAATAAAATGTGAACAATGCAGTGGTGTAAAGGAGTCCCCATGTCCCCAGTTATCAGGACTAGAAGGGCTCCCCTCAAGTCTTGTTCTGGTGACAACTGTGAAATGTTGAATTTCTCATCACTTTTTTTTTTTTTATCACTTAAAATTTTATTGAATTTCAACAAAGAAGTGATACAGAGTAGTAAAAGCATTTAAAAAAGCTGTAAATGCATTTCTGAGCAGAAGGCATATAGGTAACGATGTAACAGGTGTGTATATAGGATGCACATCAGTAAGGATTACTGTGCATCCTGACCTGGGTATCAACCACAGAAACATTTCTCATCACTTTTGTTTTGCGGCAAGTCAGCCAGACAAATACAGAGGGTGAAGCTACGTATTGGGGACGCACACTAATAAAAAAAAAAAACTAAAAAGAAACAAACACGAAGCACAGGAGGGTGAACATTTTAATGAGGATAAAACCAGTGTTCACATAAAATGTAATTCTGATGGAGGTCATAGCATAAGGATAGTAGCAGCATAAGACAGTCCAATCCCCTGGCTTCAGGAAAGGCAGCAGAAAGAAGCCGAGCAGAAGACCCACAGCTTTGAATCGGCTGGTCACAGACACAGCCGGCATTGGTGACTGTTGTCAACACACAGCAGCTGAACTATTCAGTCAGTCGGCAATGTTCACCAAAGCGACCACAGAGCGCTCTTACATACCACAAAATCTGTGGAACAGTTGTAAAACACTGAGATCTGGTATGTTTTACCATTCTCCTAACAGGTATTTTACTCCTTCCTACTTTATCCAAAAAAAATAAAGTTTTAGCTCCAGATACTTTCATTCATCCATTTCTCACTAGGAGGCGCTGTCGTTCTATGTGCATTCTCTGAAAATATAATGTCAGTGTTTTCTTCACCACAGTCCCATGAAGCCTAAACGTTTGTAAATCCAGCCTATGATGCTGCTAATCCATTTGTTTTCAATTTATTTGTTGCTTATGTAGTGATCTCTTGAGGATTGATTTGTGTTTTTGCTCTCAGACTATTTTTTACCACTGTGGCCATGTTATTAGTCACTCTTCTCTTTTTTGTCTTCAGCCTGCAGCTCCAAACCATCAGCAGATCCCAGTGTCCAGGCCAGTAAATTAGAAACTGCACGAAACAAGCCTCGGGTTCCCCCACATGTGCCAAAGCTCTTCATTCCCTCTTCCAGTGTCAGCAAATTCCCACCAGAGATCACAGTCACACCTCCAACACCAACCCTTCTCTCTCCCAAGGGTAGCATCTCTGAGGAAACCAAGCAGAAGCTGAAGGTAAACAGCCCTGATTGAGAAATAAAGGAGTGGTAATATTTGAAATCAGGGTTCTGTCCTAGAGTGGGGGGAGGGATGTGGATGTTCACACTGCAGTATTAATGTGTTACTAGTAAAACCCTATTTGCCATCAAAAATATTTTTAGTCAAAAATGAGCAGCAGCACCAGGCTCTTCACAGAGACTTGTTTACTTTGCTGCCTTTTTCAATTTTCTGCAGGATGCATGTTGGCACATATAAGGGCCGGTGCACATAAACATGCAGTCCACTACCCTTTTTTTTTTTTTCTCTCTCTCTGCTTCAAAATGCATGGACAACAAGTTATTTGGATTTCAATGGCAAAGTTCACACCATTGTAGTGCGTTACAGTACAGTCAACAAAAGTAGAACATGCTGCAATAAACTGCACTGGAATGTGGCAAAATGTACCAGAGCACATCTGTACGTATCAAAAACTCATCATAATCCATTACAGAAAAAACGGAAACTTTGGGAAAGAATGCATTGTGGGCCAATTCACATTGACTTGCGCTGACATGTTGGAAAATGCATGTACATTTCCATCTATTTTAGTCGCATTTTAACGCACACTGACGTCTGTTGACATACTTTCGTTGACATTTAAGTGCAGCATTATGGTGTAAATAAGACACATTGGAAATTGTTTTTCAAATGCCTTTCCATTGATCTGCACTAAAACGCAGATCAACGCACTGATATGAATTGGCCCTGAAAAAGCTTCAAAAACACGGATATGCCGAACACATCTGGACTGCGTTTCTGTGCTGTGAATCGGCCCCAATTTACAGATCTAGAAGCTGATGAAAAAATGTTTGTACTTTCAGTAATCCAGCCATCCATAGGCTATCCCCTAATCTTACAGTATAACTAAGGACATAACTTTTTTCAGTTTTGGATAGAGTAGAGAGGGATTAGAACCCCTTTCAGTTTTTAATGATGTCTGTGTCCAGTTAGGGACATTCCTGCTCTCTAGTTGTCCTGTTTACCATTTTTCATTGGAAGTGAAAGCAAAAGAAAAACCTACATTTTGGGTTGTCCTCAGAAAAGTAACAGAGGGAAAATCTTCCAATGGCGACACTAGTTCTGGTAACCGGGGGGACCCCAAGGGATTCCCTTAATTTGCAGCGAATATCCTCTCACTTCCTGTTTTTAGCTATGGGACAGAAAGTGAAGGGAAATCTCCACAATGGAAAACAGATGGTGACAAAAAATCTAACAGGTTTTAACTCTCTCTTACTCGATCCAATGTGGGAAAAAATTTTTGCCTATAGTTCTACTTTAAATCTGTTATATTTATGGTACATGTAAAATGTTGGTAATTAGCACAGTATTGTGTATAGGGTATTGGTGACACTTCTATATACAGTTGTGTTCAAAATAATAGCAGTGTGTTTAAAAAAGTGGGTAAAGCTCATGTTGCATGGAGTCAACCAACTTCTGGCACCTGTGAACAGGTATTCCAGCCCAAGACAATTGCACTGCATTCCACAATTCCTCTGCATTTCTTGGTTTTACCTCAGAAACTGCATTTTTTATGTCACCCCACAAGTTTTCTATTGGATTAAGGTCCGGGATTGGGCTGACCACTCCATAACATTACTCATGTTGGTCTGGAACCAAGATGCTGTTCGCTTACTGGTGTGTGTTGGGTCGTTATCTTGTTGAAACCCCCATTTCAAGGGCATTTCCTCTTTGGCATAAGGCAACATGACCTCCAAGTATTCTGATGTATTCAAACTGATCCATGATCCCTGGTATGCGATAAATAGGCCCAACACCGTAGTGTGATAAACATCCCCATATCATGATACTTGCGCCACCATGCTTCACTGTCTTCACACTGTGGCTTTAATTCAGTGTTTGGGGGTCTGACAAACTGAGTCCCCTAGACCCAAAAAGAACAATCTTGCTTTCATCAGCCCACAAAATTCGCCATTTCTCTTTAGACCAGTCAATGTGTTCTTTGGAAAATTGTAACCTCTTCAGTACATGTCTTTTTTTCAACAGTGGGACTTTGCGGGGGCTTCTTGCAGATAGCTTGGCTTCACATAGGCGTCTTCTAATTGTTACAGTACTCACAGGGAACGTTACACCTTCTTTGATCACCCTGGATCTTCCTCATCTTTCTGGTTTGATTATTATTATTTATTTTATTACTATTACTTTGAACACGCCCCTTTCAATTCGTGATTCAATTACACAGAATCAGCCATGACTGTTGGGTCTGTTGGTTTTAGATTACTCTACTACACTTACTAGTAAATTATTTGCCATGTAGAAATATAATTTATACCCAAAACAGTGATTGATCTGGTTAGTGAAGTTAGAGTGCTGTTATTTCGAACATAACTGTATATACTTACCCAACTTTCATCTTGTCTTCCCACAGTCTGTCATCCTGTCATCTCAGTCTGCTGCCAATGTGAAGAAGGAGACTTTGTGCCAACCAGCTCTAGAGATCTTGGACACTTCCAGCCAGGAATCATCCCTTGAGAGCGACACGGATGAGGATGATGACTACATGGACATCTAAACATTTCATAATGTTCACTTCTCACCAACTGCCAAATGAAAATTCTACCTATGACTCCCACCAGATTGCGCTTGCATGCTACAGTTCCTGGCATTTGGATTGTTTTGCAGCTGCCAGTAGCCAAATCATCATTTTACAGTGTGCCAGTGGTATGTGCAAGTGCCCGTAACCAGCTTGGGAGTAGGGTCAAGGCACAAAGAACTTGCAGTGGGTGTATCTGGCTTTGCACAGAGTTCTTTGTGTATTTCAGGCCTGGAAGACCACACAGCAGATATTCCTGAACTGTTGCAGAATCGATCTGTATTTCTGACTTGGATAATATAATTTATCATATTATGTCAGATTATTCTGCAGCTCCAACCTTGGTGCTGACCTGAGAACATTTGACTCGGTGGAGTTGCTGAAAATCACAGCCTGTCACCTCCTTTTGAGGTCTATTTTTTTTAAAAACAGAATGTGATGTTTGTAACATAAACATAAAGGTGTAAATGAAAAGAAAATTATGATGACAGAATTCCAAGATATGATATATGTTGCACAGTTTTTGTAAAAAAAAAAACAAATAAATAAAACAATTATATCATTTTCATGGGCTCTTCTAAGAGGTATCTCTACCTGTGAGGTCACCATTCTTCAATAAAGAGAGAGGTTCAAGTGATTGAAATGTCAACTACATTGAGCAGTTGTCTGAGATTGTGCATATTTATGATCATGGCATATAAAACTGGTGTTTTCTTCTTTTCCATTGAGGGACACAGAGTCTTTAACCTTTGGGTAAACTGCCAGCTACAGCAGGATTGAACACTGGCAAACCAGGCCAGCCAAGGATAATCCCTCCTACTACCAGCATTTCCTAGTGTCGTAGGAGGATGGACATCTTTTCTTCAGCTCTGCTGTGTTAAAGACTAACCTATTTTTTGCTAGCACCTTTTTCTTGTCGCCTAATGTAGTTTTTTGTTTTTCATCTCCTTTGTCTGCATGTAGTTTGGGCTGTGGGCTCTCAACTACTTCTTTCAGGAAGACTGATTCCTTTTTGTCATCACAGATGATCTCCGTAAGGATGCACCAGCTTCTCTTGCCACCATCGCTGTTGTCTCTGACAGACCATCATTCAAACTTATGGTCTCAAAGGTCAGGTTCTTCCCCTTCCTGTTAAGGCACACTCACTTAAGTACTTATTGGGCTTTTCCAAACGTAGATGAACTGCTTATGAATGTCCAGAAGATTAAAAAGACTTCCTGTATCCCTCAATAGATGAGAACAAAAATGGGGATTTTGTACACATCTTGGAGTCCATTGGGGGACACAGGTTTATGATCATGCTCCCAGTACTGCTTTGCCACAAAAAATGAGGAATGCTGGTAGTAATTGGGGGTATCTTGTGCAGGTCTACAGCTTTTTTTTTTTTTTTTTTGTTTGCTATGTTCAATCCTACTGTAGGTAGAGGTATAACCCGTTAAAGACTTCCTGTGTCTCTCAATGGACTCCATGAAAAGGATTTTCAGTGAGTATCACATAACCTTAAATCGTACAGTACAGAACACAGGCTTAAACATTCATTGCAGGGTTGCAAACCACTCAGAAGTGACAAGGTTTCTCTTGCACCTAAACAGGACCCTCTTTTTTTTTTTTTTTCATGAATGCTTTATTTAGTAGAAGCAGTGGTACAAAAGTAATATGAATACAGGTATGCAAGAAGTGCCAATTTGGAACAAACAATAGTGCAATTCAACAGTATTAGGACCACTGGGAACACAGAGACCAACAATATCAGAAATTGGTATTCTAGTAACATAAAATCACATGGTCTGGTCATGGTAACTTCAATCGCATGGAAAAGGCTTGTAACCACCAGTTCACAACTACTTTTTATTTTGTTTTTATGCTCAAGTGTCTGAGCTTTAAATAAATATGCTGTCTAGGGCAACCAGTATTTCTCCTCTTGTTCTTTCATAGTAAGATTCTCCACTTGCTGGATTTATTCAATTCTGGTAAGCCAGTGTGATTTTGGAGGACGTGATGTTTGCTTTTTCAGCGCTGGTATGCAGGCTTTTGCTGTTTTATGGAGATGTTTCAGTAGTGCGTTTTTTCTATTTTTGATAGATAAGGGGATTAGAGCAGGGCCCTATTTTAACACCAGTCTTTGCATCTGATTCTAGTACATGCAAAAAGCAGCCTATCTAACAAAAACAGATTTCTCTTCAACTACAGTTAGGTCCATGTATATTTGGACAGAGGCACAATTTTAGTTTTTTTCAGGTATTTACCAAAATATATTCAAGCTATAGTTATATAATGGATATAGGCTGAAAGTGCCTACTCTCAGGTTTAATTTGAGGGTATGTACATCGAAACTGGAGGAAGGGTTTAGGAATTACAGCTCTTAAGAGTAGCCATCCCCCCTTTTTCAAGAGACCAAAAGTAATCAGACAATTGAATCAAAAGCCATTTCATGGCCAGGTGTGGGCTACTACTTCATTATTTCTTCATCAATTAAGCAGGTAAAAGGTCTGGAGTTGATTCTAAGTGTGATATTTGCGTTTGGAATCTATTGCTGTGAACCTACATCATGCGTTCAAAGGAGCTGTTCATGCAAGTGAAACATGCCATTGTAAGGCTTAAAAAAATGAAACCAATCCATCAGAGAGATAGCAGCAACATTGGGAGTGGCCAAATCAACAGTTTGGTACATTCTGAGGAAAGAAGAACGCACTGGTGAGCTCAGCAACATAAAAAGGCATGGACGTCCACGGAAGACAGCAGTGGTGGATGATCACAAGATCCTCTCTATGGTAAAGAAAAAACCCATTCACAACATCCAGACAAGTGAAGGACACTCTCCAGGAGGTGGGTGTATCATTGTCAAAGTCTACAATCAAGAGAAGACTTCACGAGAGCAAATACAGAGGGTTCACCACAAGGTGCAAACCATTCATAAGCCTGAAGAATAGAAAAGCCAGATTAGACTTTGCCAAAAATAAAATCTAAAAAAGCCAGGCCAGTTCTGGAAAAGCATTCTTTGGACAACTGAGACTAAGAATAATCTGTACCAGAATGACAGGGAAAAAAAAAGTGTGGAGAAGGCTTGGAACAGCTCATGATCCAAAGGACACAACGTCATCTGTAAAACATGGTGGAGGCAGTGTGATTGCATGGGCATGCATGGCTTCCAGTGGCACTGAGTCATTGGTGTATATTGATGATGTGACAGAAGCAGCCAAATGAATTCTGCAGTGTTTTAGATATATACTGTCAGCCCAGATTCAGGCAAAAGTTGATTGGACAGCGCTTCACAGTACAGATGGACAATGATCCAAAACACTGCTAAAGCAACCCAGGAGCTTTTGAAGGAAAAAAAGTGGAATATTCTGCAATGGCCAAGTCAATCAGCTGATCTCAACCCAATTGAGCATGCATTTCACTTGCTGAAGGCAAAACTAAAGGCAGAAAACCCACAAACAAAGAACAACTGAAGACAGCTGCAGTTAGAGCCTGGCAAAGCATCAGAAAGGAGGAAACTCAGTCTTTGGTAATGTCCATAGGTTCCAGACTTCAGGCAGTCATTGCCAGTAAAGGATTCTCAACAAAATATTAAAAATGAACATTTTATTTATGATTATATTCATTTGTCCAATTGCTTTTGGTCCCTTGAAAAAGGAGGGTGGCTACTCTTAAGAGCAGTAATTCCTAAACCCTTTCTCCAATTTGGATGTACAGATCCTCAAATTAAACCTGAGAGTGTGCACTTTCAGCCCATATCCATTATAGAACTATAGCTTGAATATGTTTTGGTAAATACCTGATAAAAAATAAAATTGTGCCTGTGTCCAGATATATATGGACATAACTCTGTTAGACTTTCTTGGACAACTAATGGCCCTAATACAGCCATCACTGCCCAGAACTCAAAAATGCATGGCTTCTCCTCTATCCCCACCTTTTTTTTTTTTATTACAAGAGTTAGAAGTAGATCTGCCTACTCTAGAAGCAGTACAAATAAAGGAGAAAAAAGAGAACCTGCAGAAGGTGCTAGAGGAGGCCATGGAAGATTTCTAAACCCCAGGCTCCTATACACCTGATGTTATGGCTTCACCAAAATGCAAATAAGTGTACATATCACATGTGTCAAGGCCCATGGGTGAAATCTGGCCCACCAGGCCATTTCATGTGGTCCTCGCACCTCTCCTGCAGCTGTGGCTCCCCCCACTTGTTTCAGCAGTTGGCAACAGAGAGGATTACAAAACTCCTCCACCAGATCCTGCACTACTCCTTGCAGCCGTGGAGAGGCTTGTCTCTGCTACCCCCCCAACTCAGCAGTCGACAGCAGAGAGGTGAACAGAACTCCCACTACAGATGCTCTGCCCCTCTCTGTCTAGATTCAGCACCCCCTGGTCTCAGCATTCAGCAGGCTCCAGCCCTCCTCTAGTCCTCCTTCAGGCCCTGCACTTTTGCTTCTCCGCTTCGCCCCCAGCTTTTTCCCAGCAGCAGCACAACGTAAGGGGAGTGCACTGTGATGTAAAGGAGAGTGGGGGGGAACTCATGCCAGATGTCAAGAGCCCCCACCATCAGAAGTCAAAAGTGGGGGTGGGGTCCTTTGGACATCTTGTTATAATTATTGAGAATAATACAAGTCTATGCCAGTTGAAAAGGAGGGTCGCACACCACTGGTACCATCCAGAAGAAACTTTATTGGAGACAGAATCATGACAGAACCATATTCTGTTTGAGCAGTCTCCAATAAAAGTTTATTGTGGATGATACCAGCAGTGCACGGCTGCTTTTCAGACTTTCATGTGCTACAAGAATGTGAGTGGGCTCTGACGGTTTGCACTTTCACAGCTTAAAGCGGAACTCCACTTTCCAGGCTTAAAGGCCTCCTCGCCCCCCTTTCACAATCGCCTAGGCCAGTGGTGGGCAGCCTTTTTTTTCAACTGAGCCAAATCTCGCCAAAACCACGATTGAAATTTATTTTGAGAGCCACATTTTTAAAACTGAAAATACATAGGATGGTACACTGTTTTTAGTTTCAATAAGTTTTTATAGTAATCATCCCCCCATAGTAATTCATCCCCCATATAGTAATTCATTCCCCATATAGTAATTCATCCCCCATATAGTAATTCATCCCCCATATAGTAATACATCCCCCATATAGTAATTCATCCCCCATATAGTAATTCATCCCCCATATAGTAATACATCCCCCATATAGTAATTCATCCCCATAGTAATTCATCCCCCATAGTAATACATCCCCCATATAGTAATTCATCCCCCATATAGTAATTCATCCCCCATATTAATTCATCCCTCATATAGTAGTAGTAAGTAAGCAAATAGTAAGCCAAGTCCCCCCCTGTGTCAATTCACTTACCTTTGCTCCGCGCGTTCCTCTCGCCGTGTTGCCGCGCCGTTCCGGTCTTCAGGGCGGACTGTGAGAGGAGCCTAGCTCCTCTCACGTTCGTCACGCTGCCCCGCCCTACACACATCCTGACAGCCAATCACTGGCTATCAGGATGTGAGTGGCAGCGAGAATGGCCAATCATTGCATTTGAGCGCGCTGCCCTGGCTGTTTTTTTTTTTTTGATCACGCTGCAGAGTCTCTGCCGCCCGAGAGGAGGGAGGGGAGCGGGCGCCCGGCACACAAGAGCCGCATTAAAGCGTGTAAAGAGCCGCATGTGGCTCGCGAGCCGCGGCTTGCAGACCACTGGCCTAGGCGATCAGAGTGGAAGTGCTTCTTCTACCCCAATGTCTCTTTTGCAAAAATTAAACATACCTGCCCGTTTTCAATCTTTTGCAGATTGTATACTCTGCTGTGCATGCACAGCTCAGTTTACATTTCCAGCAATGTGCCAGTTTGCAGGGATGAATGACTCCCAAGTATGCCAGGGAGTGATATAATCCCACGCAGGCCAATGAAAATGGCTAAGGACCATTACCTGGAAGAAGCCAGCGAGAAAAAACTGGTGAGGAACCTTACGGTCATGAGACCATTGGAGTAGAAATGAGTAATCCTGAGTTTTTAGTTGCTCTAAAGAAAAAAAAAATCCCCTGCAAGGAAATGTCATAATGTGCTAGTATGCATCGCATACTAACACATTATGAAGGATTTGCCTTAACCTCCCTAGCGGTATGATTGTCAGTATTTCTGTGCTCAAAGCGGTACATTTTTTTGCATGGAAATATGTTGTTTTTTTTATTATAGGCCTGTAATTCTTAGGAATAACTCACTGAAATTTGTCAATCTGAACAAGAGTCTAGTAAACATCCCGGGTATGATAAAATTTGAAACGTGAAATCATAAATTATAATATAATAAATAATCATAAAAAAATAATAATATAATAATAAATTTAATTCATTAATATAATCAAACCAAAAACACTGAAATTTGAAATATAGCGCCAAGTTCGCACATCACTGAGCTTAGTCGCAAAATTGTTTTCAGAATGTGATGACAAATTTCCCCACGAATCATTATCACTCAGTTCTGCAAGTGGTTTTAATTTACTATCGCTGTTCTCTAGCTGGTCTAAAGCCGCTTTTGACCTAAAGGGACACTTTTTGGACGCCATGGACGTTTCTCAGTTTCCAGGCAAAAAGAACAGTAAAAATGCAGGCAGGGCACAGGACAAAGCACTCGGGACAAAATGTATGTGAAATGGTTTGATACAGCAATGTTTTACTATGTGATTTTAGTGTATTGAGTGAATGTCACTTTTAAAATGTTTTCATTTCCCACCGGTTCCGTCCCCGTACGTCCCGACGCTCGCAGGGAACGGAAGATGGATGCCGGCATCGGCCAAAGGAGATGGCCGGGGACGCTGCAGGGGAGACATCGCGGAAGCGAAGGACAACGTAAGTGCTGGAGGGAATCCCTGAGCAACGCTGCAGGGTAATCCCGAGTGTAGCTCAGGGTTACTGCTTTTGGTACTGAAAGTTACTGCCAGGGAGATTAAACTGAAACCCTGTCACCACTGCAGAGGCTTCCATCTTCACGCAGTCTGCCTTCCAGGTTCGCAAGCTCCAGCCATCTGACTGGCCAAACCACGATGATATAACTCCCATGCCACGGCACAGTGCTCTGAAGGAATGGCATGGGTATGTCGTTCCTTCAGAGTGCAAACGCTGGTTGTCAAAAGGAGTAAATATCTCCTAAACTGCACATTTAGGAGATATTCATTTTTACCTACAGGTAAGCTTTATTATAAGTTTTCGTGTAGGTAAATGTGTACAAAAAGGAGTTTACTACCACCTTAAAGCGCAACTAAACCCATAGATTTAACCATTTCCCAAAACAGATTTAAAGCACATGAACAACAAAAACTCAGTTGTTTGTGCTTCTTTGGCTGTAGAGGATAAGAGGGTTTAGTTCCATTTAACCCTTGATGCTGATGGCACACAAAATATGCGCCTCAAAGAACTGGGATTTTTTCCGTGGGGCCGCATATTTGCGTACCTGTCTTTGTGCTGGGAGCCCGCCGCACAGCACGCTCCCAGCACAAAGACCGTGGTGTCACTGAGAGCCCCGGGTCCCGTTCTAACGATCGGGACCCGGGACTCCCAATTCCGGGTCACATGATCGCTGTGATAGCCTCTGATTGGCTATCACAGTGATCAGTCACTGTACAGCCCAGCCCCCTTGTTTTTTTTTTCTCTTTCTATGAATTGAGAAGAGAAATACATTGTATCTCTCTAACTCCTGGCATAGAGAGAAAAAAAATGTTTGTAAAAAAGAAAAATATAAATAAATATTAAAAAATAAAAGAAAAAAAATACCTAGATCAAGGTTTGATGTAGTTCAGTGCCAGGGATAGTGTTTGGAACAAGGTCAGGGTCAAAAGGTAAAGCTCAGGATCAAAGGTTAGGATTTAAAAAAAAAATATCAGTGTCAATGTCAGTGTGTTTTAGGTAAAAAAAAAAAAAAAAAGACAAAAACAAAATGCATGCTATTGTTTCTTCTGGGCTGTACTACGGGTACAAACAATAAATAACATATACATATGTAGTATCACTGCGATCGTCAAGAGCTGGAGAATGTATTTTGGGCTGTTCTTTGGTGGTAGGTTATAGTAGTAACAAGAAACACAGCTAAATAAAAAAAAAAAGATTTTGTGCCAGTTTTCCTTTGATAAAAAAAATCAGGAGATATGCATTACCATTTACCACCAAATGAAAGCCCAATTTGTCCTGAAAAAAGCAAGGTATAATCCATCTGGCTGTACAAAGTAGTTGTGATGATATGTACAGTCAACTTTGCAAAATTGTGCTTAGGCATTACATTTGTTTTACCCTTAGGTGTGAATGGGTTAAGGGGCCTAATGTGTCCCAAGGAAACACCCCTTAGACTATTTCACCAACAGCAATCTGAACCATTGACACATCACGGTGGATTTGTGATGCATATGCCAAATTTGTATCATAACTTCTCCATGTTGGAAAGGAAATATAGATTTGTTACATTAGGAAATGTTTTACAATCTACAGTCGTTCAGTGTGGTTGATCCTGTACTGGCTGTATGCACATATCTTGTTCCTGCTGTACATATTCCATCTTCAAAGTTTGGCATGTATATTAAGTCTTTCTCTTCTGCACATCATTGTTGCTAAGAGCAGTAATGAACTTACGGCCAATGTGAACAAGTCTAGATGTTCTCCTCTGACCTCTCTCACTAACCAGAAATTCCCCCCAAAGAACTCATGTCCCCTGGACTTTTCTCACCATTCTCTGTAAACTCTAGAGACTTTATTGCATGGAGATCCCAGGGGGTCATCAGTTTCTAAAAAGCTGCAAACAGCTGTGTCTGGTGCATTTCAATGCCTGGTCAATTAGCAGATGGACCTATGTGTGTTTTATGTACGGTGTATTAAAAAATATCCTGCATGCTGCATCTTTGATGTGCTTTCTTCATAAAGCATGTTCTACAGAGTTAAATGTACCTAAAACAAACGCACCAAAAACACACCACACAGATGTGATTCCTCCTGCGTGCTATTAAGCGGGTTTTGCTATTGTATGAGAGAGCAGGAGCAATTGTTATAGTGTCCGCTGAATGTAATATACCCAATTTAATAGTTGATTTATCAGGCTGCAGTACCACCTATCAAATGAAAACAGATTTATCATATGTGTGGATATTATCAAATGAGTGGAGGTATCATACAATCACAAACACCCCAGAAATGTTCCCTTGTGATTTTAGTAATGTACAGGAAACAGAGTACTGTTTGTGATATTTTCTTTATTTGCACTGACATACAATTTTTCCGGGTGTGCCTTTCATCAAGGTCCAAGCAGTACTAATGCACAAAGTTTTAGCAGAGTGTAAACCACTTGACCTCCAGAAGGTTTTACCCCCTTCCTGACCACAACATAATTTTTTGCTATTCAGCACTATGCTACTTTACCGGCAGTTGCTCAGTCATATAACGCTGTACCCAAATTAAATTTATATCTTTTTCCACACAAATAGAGCTTTTTTTAGTGGTATTGAACCACTTCCTGCTTCCTTCACATGATGTCCTCCCAGGATCACTCCACACAGGCTGTGCTGTGGCACGATCCATCACCAACTTTGTCCACCGGACACAGCGGTTGACAGGTCAGTGTACTGGACTACTTCCAGTACCATGTGATTGCTGTGACCAATCACAGATCACAAGACAATTGTACCCAATGGATGTCTTCCGTTCATACCATTCATTGTATACTATTGTATTGATCTCTATTGTGTTGCATGACTGAGCAACTGCCAGTTAAAGTAGAACAGTGCTGAATAGCAAATAATGGTCTGGTCATGAAGGGATTAAAACTTTCCGGAAGTCAAGTGGTTAACACTCTGCTAAAACTTTGTAGTAGAACACCCTCCAAAATCCATACCAAACCCTTTTCCAAGCATGCAGCCCAGCAGGTCAGGAAAGGAGGGGGGGGAGAATCGAGGGAGCACCCCCCCTCCTGAACCATACCAGGCCACAAGCCCTCAACATGGGGGGGGGCTGATCGGGACATGAGCCTTTTCCCACAACCCTGGTCGGTGGTTGTGAGGGTCAGAATCTGGAAGCCCCCTTGTTAAGCCCCCAAGTCCCCTATGTGATTGAGTCTGGGGTACATGGTGCCACTACTCATTCACCCAAAAAAAAAAAAAGTAGTGTGTAAATAAAAACACAGAAGGCAGTTTTTTGTCAAGTCCTTTATTAGGAAAAAAAAATTCCTCGTGCAGATCCATCATCAATCACAATGCCCACCTCTATGGGGAAGAAAAAAAAAAAAAAAGCTGGCGAAGGCTCCCGCCGTTTGACAGTTCTGCTGTCTGACAGTTCTTAAATAATGTAGGGACAGGGCCACCCGGTGACATCATCGACCTGGCATACCCCCTTATATTTATTTTTTGTTTTTATTCTTGTCTGTTCCTCTGTTAGGGAAATTCACCCTCTGTATTTGTCCTGTTTACTTTTATCCATAATTTCCAAATCCCAAAGAAATCCCATTGGGAACACTAGCTTTGGTGACAATCAGGGATTCCCTTTGTAGGGATTTCACAGAAGAGAAGATAAAATCTCCCCAATGGGACACAATGGGTTATAACCCTCCCTTACTCTATACAAAATTAAAAAAAGTTTTGCCTTTAGTTCTACTTTAATGCACATGTCTTAACTCAAGGCATAATGATAATTGAACCTAAATACACTGTTCAAAAAAAAAATTGAAAGGAACACTTTGAAAACACATCAGATCTCAATGGGGAAAAATATCATCCTGGATATCTATACGGATATGGACTGGGTAATGTGTTAGGAATGTAAGGATGCCCTATCGCTTGATGGAAATGAAAATTATCAACCTACAGAGGACTGAATTCAATGACACCCCAAAATGCAAAGTGAAAAAATGATGTAGCAGGCTAGTCAGTTTTGCTGAAATTTCATTGCAGCAACTCAAAATGGTACTCAGTAGTTTGTATGGCCCCACGTGCTTGTATGCATTCCTGACAATGTCGGGGCATGCTCCCTAATGAGATGATGGATGGTGTCCTTGGGTATTTCCTCCCAGATCTGAATCGGGCCATTACTGAGCTCCTGGAAAGTGTGAGGCGCAATCTGGTGGCGTCGGATGGACCAAAACATGATATCCCAGAGGTGTTGTATTGGGTTTAGGTCAGGCGAGCGAGGGGGCCATTCAATGGTAACAATTCCTTCATCCTCTAGGAATGGCCTGCATACTCTCGCCACATGAGGCCGGGCATTGTCCTGCACCTGGAGGAAACCAGGACCCACTGCACCAGCGTAGGGTCTGACAATGGGTCCAAGGATTTCATCCCGATACCTAATGGTAGTCAGGGTGCCATTGTAAAGCCTGTAGAGGTCTGTGCGTCCCTCCATGAATATGCCTCTCCAGACCATCACTGACCCACCACCAAAACGGTCATCCTAAAACATGTTACAGGCAACATAATGTTCTCCACGGCTTCTCCAGACCCTTTCACATCTGTCACATGTGCTCAGGATGAACCTGCTCTCTTCTGTGAAAAGCACAGGGCGCCAGTGGCGGACCTGCCAATTCTGGTGTTCAATGGCAACTGCCAATCGAGCTCTATGGTGCTGGGCAGTGAGCACAGGGCCATTGCATTTGAAGATCAAATGAGGGCTTAGATGGCAGCTTTCTTGACTGTAAAGGATAGGAGGGTTTACTTCAGCTTTCAAAAAAATTACTAATAAATGCCATTCTCCTAATAAGAGTCAGATAAGCAAATATGAATCAACTCAATATATCGCTGAAACATATGAAATATACTACCAGCAAACACAAATGCTCCTGCGCTTGGGAATGGACTCGATGCAGGCTACAACCACATTAAGAATGTCCTGGAACTTGCACACCTTGCTGCCCTCAAATGGACCGGGAAATCCAAATATACTGAATGAAGAAAGAACAAACAGAG